TCTCCAGGAAAATATCATATTTATAAATAATATTTATTACATATGTATTCCCTTTGTCCTCATGCATTCATTATGTCAGGGATGAGAAACTCTCACTTTGCAGATCTTGTTGGTCTAAAATGCCCAGCAGTCCCAGCATGAGGGATATTGGAAGTTATAGCACAGCAAGCAGCCTTTGGTTCTCCCCTCCAGCAAGTGCACAACTTTATTTAATAGTTTTTTTTTAACCCTTTCTCCCCATCTTATTGGCAGGGGGTGGGGACTAGATGGCATCCAGGTGAATTAATCACACAGGCTGAGTTCCCCTTTGAAATTCCATATCTAATGTTTATGTTAATTACACTAGAAAGAGCTTTAAAAAATCTGCAATTGCTGTCATGCTCTCATAAGCTAAGGTGACTTGGGAATAGATCATGATATAAATGAAAATAGTATTCCTAACCCCTCCAGGCTTTGGCATCCAGACCCTATAGTGCATTTCTGTAAGACAGTGCTACCAATGAGATGTGACATTGATTGGCAGCTGGAGACACATTTTACTCTGTGATGATTATTGGCTGCATATTTCAATGCTACCTTATTGATATAAATGATGTTTGGAACTAAGACTCTTGGACAATATGTTTGAATCCACTGGCTTATTATTTATAGACATTAAATTATAAATTGCTCTATGTATCACAGACACAATTAGAAAATCTCACTAGTCAAATTTAGAATACCAAGAGGATCAGCTTGGTATTTTTGTTGTTGTTGTTGTTTAAGCTTTGCATTCTGAAGATCTTTAAGGCTTGCCTACATAGGCATTGGAGTGTGTGACCCTCTGGTATGAAACATTGTTTGTTTTCTGCTAATTATCCTTTAAAGAGTAGGCGTGAGTGGCAATGTCATTGGATTGGCATAAATTAGTTTATTACAGCAGAATTGCTGGGAGGGGGGTGGGAGGAATGACACTCTGGAGATTGCTTGAACCCATACATTTCTGCTAAAGTTTACAGGCCTGTAAATTTAAATGTAGAATTTTTGTAGGCAGGATGCATTGACAGATATGCTTAATGGAAATACATCTAGTTCGGAGCCTCAGAACAGGTCAATAATAATGCTTATATTGATAGCAGCAATGTAGGAGATGTTATTTGGTATTAAAGCTAAAATCCATGTTATCCCCTTAATCATAATTACATTAATATTGACAGGCCCTTGACAATACCCACTTTAGTATTGATAGATTTCTGTCAATAATGCATTTCTAAATAAAATACATTCATTCATAATTTGTATAATACACAGTAAGCAATGTTAACACATATCAGAAAAATATACCTATTTAATTAATGATACTCAACAATTTGTTGTCTTATAATGTGTGATTGGCAGATGGGAACCTTTATTTTGGTAAAATAAAAATACTCTTAGCATTTTTAAACAAATTATCAGACATATTTTAGGCGAATGGTATGTACCGTTTTCATTCTGAGAAGGAAAGCAGTATGATTTACAAGAAGATACAAGTCAGAAACATTTAAAATAGACTATACACAAGCAGCCATGCTCTAATATTTGTCTCCCCAGTATTTTATTTTCTGACCATGATACTTAAAGCATTTTTATTTGGGATTTAACATTCTAGTCTTAGAAGGGATGATTATCTCAGTAACTTGCAAGAAAGGAGTTTCTAGATTTCTCAGATGGAGATCAGTGTAATCAAAACTACTTAGTGACACTTAGAAGGACAGGAAGTTGTGCATCAGGAAGTTTCTGGTCCTGACCTTATCTTAGTCACAAATTAACTGACTTTGAGCAAGTCTCTCTCTCTCTTTTTACTCTTAGATTCCTAAAAGTAGATGCAAAAGACTATTTAATTCTAACATTTTTTATCTTTAGACATAAGTTACAGAGCATTGGCTTTTCAGTCGCTGCATCTAAGGACTTATTCTGCATGAGCTTTTGTGTTAAGGCACCTGTGGATGGTGCAGCAGATTTGTGACGAGCTGTTTCAATTTCACCTTCCAACCTGTCATTGTAAAAAGTTTCCAGAGATAGTAACAAATTCAAAAAATAAATAATTTAAATACAGGAAAAAAAATACTCTTATGCTGATAAATAAAGCAAGTTACAGTGTGTGTGTGTGTGTGTGTGTGTGTGTGTGTGTGTATGTGTATACCTGGTACTTAATAGAGCAGTGAGGATGCCAGGCAAGGCCACTGTGTAAAGTTATGACATAGGAAGAGCTACATAGCCTAGAAACTTTCTGATTATCTATTTCATATTTTATGTAAAATACATTCTGAAAAAGAAAATCACTATTTAATCTCATAACTCTCTGGCAGTTAATATGACAGCTTTTCACAGTGAATGCAAATTTGAGTGGAGGTCCATGCTGACATTGCATTTGGGGACATTTAAGGTGGTAGCCATCTTCTCAAGACTAGAGGTGAGAAGTTCTATTCAGGAACAATGTTCATCATGTAAACACATCTTAGGGTATGTGAAGTGGGAGGGACAATAGAAGATACAAGTAGCAGTGCCTGGTACAGGTAGTCCCTGTTTAGCAACCACAGTTGGGTCTGGCAACTCGGTCATTAAGCAATGCAGTTGCAAAGTGAAACCGTGACTTTGCTTGTGATCTTATTTCAAAGCTTTCCTTTGCTTTACAGACCTGTGAAGGTCATAAATGTGAGGATTGATTGTAAAGTTAGTTTTCATCACTGTCATAACTGCAAACAGTCACTAAATGAGGCAGTTGCTAAATGAGGACTACCTATATACAGATGGTATGGTAGGCAGCAATATTAGTGAGGCCTGTCTGGTCACTGGAGCCCCGAAGTAGCTCTAGAATGCCAGGTTTTAACACTAAATCAAAAGAAAGCACTTCTTAAGGAATCTGGGCCTCAACATTATGAAACTTGCATTTTAAAAGGGACTTAAAGCAATTTAAGGTCTTGTCAATTTAATGAAATAAAAAATGAGAAACTATAGACCAGTAATGTTCTTTCTAAAACAATAAAAATGGTTTATATAAACCCAAAGCTGTTTGGCTGTTACTACTCAATCACATGAATTGAAGGTGCACCTGAAGCGCAGACCTTGGGACTGCATGTAGCCCCTAAAAACTTTGAATGACATCTTACAGATTTTTAAAATTTGATACCAAATTGTAATTAATTTACAGAAGGGGAAAATGATTAAATACTTGTCTAGAGGGCAATTATATTAACTGTATTTAATTTTATTTAAGTCTAGATATAAATGGAATGAAATAAAATTTAATTTTTATCTTGCTACTACTATTGGAGTATAGCCTTCAGCATTTCTCTCAAAGGCCACACTCAGCCTTTGGCCTTAAAAAATGTTATGGACCTCTGACCTCTAATACCTGGGGTGGGGTAATGGTGATTATGAACATGCTATCCCTCAGGGAAGCTTGCCATGATTACTAAATTTATCTTAAATTTGAACATGTGCATTATCACGTGGAAGCCAGTGTACTGTACAGTGTACTGTACAGTAGTACAGTATTATGCACATGGAAACCAGTGTATTATCAGGATCTTGGTTCATATGAAGATCAACATATGTACAATTGAACATACAGATATTTTCTGGAAAAAAACATCAGCAGTGGAATTAACCAGAGTGGTCGTATGTTGACTGTTTTAGTTTTAATAATGCATGAATATGACTACTGAAGATGCAGATTTTAATGCCTTTAATCAGTGACTACACTGATGGTACTATACTAGTACTAACAATGCTGGACTATCTTAAACTTTACTCTGAACATGATTACATTATCTGATACATAATATCTAATTTTGTTTCTTGGAAAATAATAAACCATAAAAGCAATTCACTGGTTCAGTTTCTTTTACAACCATGGAGAATTCAATAAGAACGTACTAGCAGAAAAGAAAAATGGGATACAACTACCTTAAGATGTACAATTGTTAATTAGTTAGCCCTGAGAGGCTAAGTCCAGGAACTAAGTGATAACCAGTTCTCCATCATCTACATTTCTTCTGCTGCCATTTATTGTCCCATCTTGAAATCAGATTGCAACACTGTCCTGATTCAAAGAAATTAATCCCGCATTAGCCATAGTATCACATAGGTTCTGTAATGTTATAAATCTTCATGGTATATTGAATCTAAGATTCCAAGCAATGTTAGCAGGGATTTCTCAGGGAGAGTGATAATAAATACAGCTTGTCTGCCATTTCCTTACAGGGTGTGAGGTGATAGTGTGATAGCTGCATCCTTCCCCCAAACAGCTAACAAGTCATCATTTGGAGGGGTCAACTTTGAACTGAATGTTAGTTTTAGTTAAATAAGTGAGAATTTTCCCCAGACATTGGACACTGGGCACAGAACCCGCTATATACTGTACCTGCAACATGCCTACCTTGTCTTCTGCTTGGGTGTCTTTTCAAATCATGGTGAGGTGTGTTTGTAATTACAATCCACATTAAAAAAAAAAAACAACATTAAATTTTCATATTTGATCAATGATAGGCAGTGCTGTGATATTATAATACAACATTTTTGGAACTTAAATAGCTTCTTAGAATAATGGATTATGTTATCATTTTCCTTGCAACTAAATAAACAACCTGGTCAAGTCAAATAAAGAAGTTTTTAGAATAAAATGTTCTTTTGTATGGAAGATGAGAGACATTCAGACTATCATATCATACATAACTGAATACTTAATGATTAAACAATTGTTAAGTTACACATTATGCCTTTGAATGTAAATATTATTATTAAAGAGAGGTTAGATGAGTGTCAGTTGCATATATGTGAATGAACTAGAACAGCTGAAGATCCAGATTTAAAATCTTTGCTTCCCACCTGGTGAGATTGGGATAAGTTACATTTTTTTAGCCTGATGCTCTTGACTGGTCTAGCTCATGAAGTTGTTATCAAACTGAAAGGAATAAATATTGTAAAGGAAAAAAATGTAATAGAAATCATGTTGTTGAATTTATTTTTTGTTACAGAGGGCTCCACGTTGACCATGGCATTGAGGGACAACAATGGCAAGAAAGTGACTCCTGTCCTCAGAATCAGTCAGCTGGATGCACTTGAACTGAACAAAGCCTTGGAGCAGCTAGTTTGGTCCCAGTTTACTTGCTGTTTTCATGGATTTAAACCTGGACTCTTAGCTCGCTTTGAACCAGAAATAAAAGCATCTCTGTGGCTTTTTTTGTGGAGATTCACCATCTGTTCCAAGAATGCAACAGTGGGACAGGCTCTATTGAACATTCAATACACAAATGATTTATCCCAGATACAGAAATACCAGACATTGAGCAAGCAACAGAAATTATGGTATCTTATTTGTAATGTTGGCGGGAAATGGCTGGAAGAAAGGTGTTATGATTTATTTAGCAAACGGCCATTGGAATCATTCCAAAGGACAAAATATTTTATTAACTTAATAGTCAGGCTTCTCAGACTTTGTGAGTTGCTAAACTTCCTAATTTTTCTTCAAAAGGGAAAATTTGCTACACTTACTGAACGTATTTTAGGAATCAGGTCAGTGTTTTGCCAGCCACAGGGTGTCCGTCCAATTGCGTTTGAATACATGAACCGAGAACTCTTGTGGCATGGATTTGCTGAATTTCTGGTGTTCCTTTTGCCATTTATTAACATGCAGAAACTCAAACTCAGGATTTCTTCTTGGTCTTTACCTATTAGGGAAAGTTTCAGTAATGAAAATATGTCAGAAACAAGTAACAAGGAATGTTCTGTGTGTGGGGAATGGCCTACTATGCCTCATACTATCGGCTGTTCACATGTTTTTTGTTACTATTGTATTAAAAGTTGTTTCTTATCAGATATGTACTTTACCTGTCCTAAGTGTGGCACTGAGGTGCAGGATCTCCAGCCATTAAAATATAAGCTAGAAATGAAAGAGATATAACTGACTTACTGAGGTTTTCCTCAAACCCTAACAAAATAATTATAAGAATTTGTAAAATAATTCATACATATATTTCAGTTGGGTTCCCCCCTTCCCATATAATGTTGGTCTTGTCTTTCTATAATTCTTTCCCTTTACTATATAAACTCTTTTACTATAAACAGAGGTATTCTAATGCCATCATGTATTTAAAATTTAATAAACTTTTTTTAAATAAATAAAGTAATATTTAGTGCTTTTTACCTAACTTTTGCCTTTTTTCCCAAAATGTATGCAAGATCCAGAATATCTGAGAACTAACCTTTTTTTTTAATGCATATCCTATTCTAGATCAGTGGGAGGAAGAGAAAAATCTTACAGGCTACCCAGCCAAGTTATAAAAAAATGACAACACTTCAGTTTGCAACTTTTCACTTCAGGAAATGTTTCTTTAAAAAGTAACGTTCTGAGAGAGGAAATTTTAAATCTGAAACTCCTATTCCTATTAAATTTAACTTAAATAAAATCTTAATAGCTTATGTTTATACATATTGCCTATGGATCATGGAACAAAATGCCCACACTAAATACTAACTGCCATTTAGATGATAATCGATCATCTTCTTTCCTTGATAAATTATTTGGATGAATATACATTTCTATTTTTTTTTTCTAATCATTCAGAGGAAGTATATGTTACATTGTGCCAGGAAGTTGACATTTTCTGTGTGTGTGTGTGTGTATTTGGCCCTTCTTATTGGTTGTAGCCAATATAAACTGTCCTGTGTTTTTAAGCTAAATATTCTTTTCATGTCCTTTAATTCTGCATTCTGTGAAATACCTTGTTTATTCAGTGTAACTGTCCTCACACTGGCTATTAATTTTTTACACTCCCTTGTTTCTTACTTTGAAGAATTCATCTTTATTAAAGGGCAACAGTTCTATCTTGTCTTTCATCCCAAATCTTTTATCTCTTTTATCTAGCATTTTCTTGCATGATGTTCATAATCCTGTTTTTGGTTTATTTGGATATTTTTCTTGCTTTACTTTTAGCTTGTATAGTGTACCCATTATTTACAAGAGTGTTGAATTTCCTTTGGTTTGCTAGAGGCATCACTTATTTTGTCAGCCCTACTTATCAGTGACCTATTAACTGATCTTTTGTTGAGGGCCATGGTATGTTGCAGTATTGAGCTAACAATCTATGTTTGTCTCTTTTCTATAGACTTTGTAGTTTAGATTTCCATCATTATCTCTTGGCAAGCTCTTGGCAACAGAAAGCAGGATTCTCATAAGATCTTCTTTAAGCAGATTTATTGAAAAGGAATTAGATTACAGAAATATCAACAACTGGGTACTTCCATTTTAACACCCAATTTATCTTTTAAGTTTACTGGGGTGGGGATTTATTCGTCCTTTTGCTAGCAACCATTTGATGGACAGGATAGGTGGCTAACCAGTTTCCCAATAAAGGAAGAATGTACAAATGTTCTGAGCTAGCAATATTTGGCAGACTGTTATCCTCTTTCTCAGACTCTGAGAACCCCATAACTTCTCTGTTCACCAGAATTTCCCAAAATGGCAAACCACTATTGTTCCCAATTTACATAGTAAATATTAGGGTCTTGTGTTGTTCATTTAGTTGGTTTAGAAATTTCATCAACTTTTTCAGTCAGGCAACAAAGGTAACAACATATCTAAGACAACATTTTAGTTGTAGGTGGCTGGATTGTAAAGCTGCCTGTTCAGTGTCTTCCATAAAGATATTGGCAAAGACTGGTGACCATGGTGACTCTATTGCTGTTGCAGACTTCATAGACATGTTCATAAAGTCATTAGGAATCTGGCAACTTAAAGGAAATTTTACCTTCTATAAAGTTAGCTTGCAATTAAATTTCAATTGATAGATTTCAAATTGAGCTGGAGTTGATTGAATATTCTGGACTGATCTTCACAATCACACTACTGCTAATTCAAATGCTGTGTTTTGATGAATTATGGGCAGGTGGCATAGGAGCATCAATGGCCTGCTCTTTCTGGTTGACTTGTCTTTAGTCCATTTCCAGTTCATTATAGCCCAATAGGAAAGGAAGTTTATATCTGAGTTTATTATTTGGTTTTGCTCACGCAAGATTGAATACCTTCCAGGAAGCAGATAATCTTCTATTTTCCTTATTTTCTAAAAAATACTATTTTTTCTATATATGTCATAATTCTATTTTCAGTATGTGGCATTTCACAATTCTATGTAACCAGGGTCCTAATCACAGTGAAAAGGGAATTGGTTTGGTTATTAACTGCACAAGTTTTGTTGCAGAAATAGGGATACACAGAAATGTTACTGACCCTCATCAAGTAAGTCAAACAGCATTCATAAGTTAATTTTTTTCTGCCATTCCTGTAGTGATCCTAGCCTTTTTACCAGTAGGATACGTATTGGTGTAATAATGGAGAAAACCATTTCTGAAGGGTCAATGAATCTGGAAATATGACTGCACTGGATAGCTTTTAACATCATGAACACCTTTAAAGAGGGTGGTCTGCTTACATAAGTAAACACAGTACAACAAGTGGTCACTTTTCCTACAAAGATCATATGTATTTGATTATTATGAAGCATCATTACACTCTTGAAATACAAGCACTTCTGAATCCCATAATATACTTGCCTACCCCTTCAATGTTTCTTCTAAAAGTACAAACTACAGGATCTTATATAGGAATTATTTTGTGATATTGTACCCTATCATGGTGTCAGAGGAAAATCTGGTGTCAAATGATGGCGTACACATTTTAAAACTAAAACTAACCCAGTGCCACATGACATAAACATGGGAGAGTCATTTGAAGAATATGTCATCCTCAGGCTGGGCCAGTCTATTATCTTGAAGTGATACAAGCTCTTATCCAACATGGGGGTTTGGGTGGACACCATGCAGTATGTAATCGAAGAATAGCCATCAGTGATGAGCAATCAGAAATTGCAAATTAGAACAACAATCAAGGATAGCCTTAAATACTCAGTAGGCTGCCTTTTGATTGGAAGTTGTATTATGAACTATGGCAGACTTCTAAAATCTGGTGCTCCTGAATCCCTAGCCCAGTGTTGTCTCAAAAAAGAGGGGGCCTCACTTTGAGTTTTGCTATCACATCAAATAACACTACCCTGCCCCACTCTCGTCCGAGCCTCGCTGG